ATCCCAGCCCAGAGAACCTTCCTGCATCCCAAACCCCTCATCCCCAACCCCACCCAGAGCCTGCACCCGCAGTCAGAGCCCTCACACCACCCCGCAGACCAACCCCCTACTCCAGCCGAGAGCCCCCTCCTGCACGCCAAACCCCTCAATCCCAGCCCAGAGAACCTTCCTGCATCCCAAATCCCTCATCCCCAACCCCACCCAGAGCCTGCACCCGCAGTCAGAGCCCTCACACCACCCCGCAGACCAACCCCCTGCTCCAGCCGAGAGCCCCCTCCTGCACGCCAAACCCCTCAATCCCAGCCCAGAGAACCTTCCTGCATCCCAAATCCCTCATCCCCAACCCCACCCAGAGCCTGCACCCGCAGTCAGAGCCCTCACACCACCCCGCAGACCAACCCCCTGCTCCAGCCGAGAGCCCCCTCCTGCACGCCAAACCGCTCAATCCCAGTCCAGAGCTCCCTCCTGCATCCCAAACCCCTCAGCCGCAGCCCGGAACCCCTCCTGCAGCTGTGCTGCTGTAGCCTTTCTACCCTGCGTGGCTTGTCTAGATGATGATGCTCGGTGATCTAACCTCACTGCCCACTCCTCTTTCCCAGGTGACACTCCTCCTTTGGGTGGGTGTGTCAGGGCAGCAATGCCTCCAGCAGGGAGCAGAGAAGGCCGGCACACTCCATCACACACTGTTTGTTCTAAGTGATCGGCTCACTCCATTTCAGAGACAGTATTTGAATGCTGAAACAGGGTGCAAAGATGTATTCAAGAGTCAGGAGCGTGTAACTGATGCCTTCTGATTCAACTCTGCAATTCAAAGCAGCTAGTTGAGGATTTCCCCTCTATAGCTCCAGTTCTGCAAGCTCTGCCGAGGGCTGACCCCTCTTGACTTCACTGGAGGTCCGTAAGAGTCAGCCCTCATAGGCCAGCTTGCAGACTTCGGATCTGTGGCAGCAAGAAGCGCCCACAGTCCAGATGATTCCATCATGCTGTTTGGTGGGTTTGGCCTGCTTACCCTGAAACATTCTTGTATCGTAAATCAGAAACCTGGAATATCCCCAGCTTCATTTCCAGCTGTGTTTTCCTTTGATCTCTAAACATTTCCCTCCTATACCCTGATTCTGGTAGTATTCACAGAGTTTCAGATAGGTGGATTCAATTAACTTCACAGTTGTAACTGACACAGTTGAAATGTAGGAGTATATTACTCTAGATTGGTATTAGCCAATTCATAAATGTATGTGACCTTGCAGGGGCCTCTGTTTATCAGTGTTTTGAATGCGGAATGCTGTTGGGAGAGCACCAGTCCCTGACTGAGGAATTAAAATCCAGGTGCAGTATCCTGCAGGATATTTCAAGAGGCTAAGTGGCAGCAGCTGCTTGTTAGAAAGAATGAGCAAGGTCAGCTGTGGCAGGGCTTGTGTTTGAATGTTCTGTTTAATATAGAAGGGGAGTGTTTGTGGGACATGTGGAAAGGGAGGAAGAAGTGTTTCAAAACATGACCAGTAGATTGTTGTCAGACTAGATTTCTTGGTTAACCCCTTAGCTGCTAGAGCTGTATCTCAGTAGCACTGTTTGTGCAATTGGCTGTGATTCCTTCCTGCACTGGGGAAATGTATTTCAGTTCCCCAGCGGTAATAGGGCTTTACAGGCTGAGGAGAGTCTTGGAGCTTGGGTGTTTGTGGCATTGCTGCAGCACAAGGCGAGTGGAACAGTGCGCTGGTTTGGCAGTAGGGTTGCCAGCTCTCCCGGTTTCACCAGGAGTCTCCTGAAATCATGCTCTATCTCCCAGAGGCTATTGCAGCCAAACCGGGAGATTTTAGGCGTTAACAGTCCAGCAGCACAGCGGGGCTAAGGCAGGCTCCCTACTTGCCTTGGCTCCTTGCCGCGCCCACAAGCTGCTGGCACGTCTCTGCAGCCCCTGGGGGGCAGGGGGTCTCCGTGTGCTGCTTCGCCCTGAGCACCGATTCCATAGCTCCCATTGCAGGGGCATTGCCTGCAGGCAGGGGCAGCAGCGTGCGAAGACCCCTTGGCCCCCTGCCTAGGAGCTGCTGCCAGAGGGATGTGCTGGTTACCTTGGGTGGATCCCAAAAGCAAGTGCCGCCCAGCCACGGCCTGCACTCCTCACCCGCTCCCAGCCCAGAGCCTGCACCCAAACTCCCTCACCCCCTCCCGCACCCAAACTTCCTCCCAGAGCCTGCACCCCAACCTCCTGCCTGAGCCTGGTGAAAGCGAGTGAGGGTGCGGGGGAGTGAATGATGGAGGGAGGGGGGTTTGAGTGAACGGGGAGGGGTGTCAGGGAAGGGGCAGGGCAGGGGGTGGAACAAGGATATTTGGGATTGTGCCATTAGACTGTTGGCAACCCTACTTGGCAGTCTAGTGCCAACACACCTGTGTTGCCAGGGTCATGGGTCGAGGGCCGGGAGGGGTCAGTGAGTTCGACTGACCTGTGCCTTACAGCTCCTGGAGACAGCTGGCCAAACGGCAGGTGAAACCATAACAAATTGGAAGGTAGCATTTCACCCTCCTTTGGCCCAAGCAGATGGAATACTTACCTATGGGCAGTGGAGACTCAGGCCTTCTGTGCTGCTGTGGAGCACAATCTCCCCTTCCCCACCCGTGCTCTGGGGCCTGAGCAACTTCACCCTGAGTATCTGCATGGGGGGAAGAGGTGAGAACACTGTAGAGGGAATCAGACTTTCAATTAGACTTGTGTGGAAATACAACCTGGGGTAGCGGGGGGCAGGCCAGTGGGGGTTTCAGCACATGGCCTTGGGGCCTTCTGGAGGGAGCTGGGTTTTTTCCTTGCACCCTCTGAGGCAGATTCCTGATCCTGCTAAGGCCTCTTTTCATGGCTCTGGTGGAGTAAAGGGGCTGGAAACATCCTCCAAGGGGACTCTCCCACTGCCATAGATCTGCCCTTGTTCCAGGCTCTAGCATAAGGGGCACCTTTGGGGCAGGCCAAGGGTGAGAAGGAGGCATGGGCAGAACACACAGTGCTACAGATATTGTCTGGTTCTTGGGGAAGCAGAGCTAAATTGGAGCAGCCTCAGGGCTGCTCTAACATATGCTTGAGGCTGTGCTGACCTGTAGATAGGCCCACGTAGGAGGAATGCAAAGAAGGCATACGGCACCCTTTGTCTCCCATGGTTCATGCACTCAGGCCTCTCAGTCATGCCTGGAGCCTGAACAAACCCAAAGACCTCACTCAGGACTCTAGAGTTTTGCATGGCATTTTGTTGGAGTGAAACGACTGTGCTCTGCCCTTGTGCACAGGGACTCAGTTTCCACAAATTCCTGTGCAGGCTCCTAAACCTGAACTGAGGTTGTGGTGTCCTTACAAGAGATCCCATCCTAGTCATTCCACATACCCTGTGGTTCATACCCTGATTTCCCACAATAAGCATCCAGTAATAAGTTGCTGGCTTGCCTGCCCCTTGCTTGCTGTGACCTCAGTCATGATGCATTTCATGTCCCCTCAAAAGGGGGGGTCAGGCTAGAGATAAACCTGAACTGTAAAGCCTAGATACTGAATATGCTCAGATCCAGGGTTTGGGGCTGAACACATTGCTAATTCTGGCAGGGCCAACTTAGAGCCATTCAGAGACTGCAACAGTCTGGAGGCCTCTAAATAGATGTATGGATGGGGACTATATGGGGCAAGAATTTAAATGAGGGAGCCTAGATTAGGGCACCAGGATTTGACCTCTAAAGCTGAAGACAGGGCACACCTTACTGCATTTAGGAAGGCTTGGGGCAAAGGCAGGGGTGGCTTGGCTAGTGGACTGGATGCTGCTTGGGTAGCAGCTAGATTTGGTAGACAACAGTTGCAAACCTTGCCGGGAAGGTAGGCAGTAGTGGTGGAGTTGGAGAAGTTGGGCAGAAGTGGAAGGATGCCCTCCTGGCTGGTTCAGTGGAATCCAGTGCTTTGCCCCAGTTTCAGACCCTCTGGGGGTGGTCCCTCAAAGCTGGGACAATCGAGCCAGCTAGGACATCTGGTCACCCTAGGCACAGGTGCAAGCTCCAGGCTGGCATGGCACACTCAGCACATTTGACTACATGGAAAGGTACAGCATGTGAATGAAATGATTATTTCTTGGTATATCATTTGGATGATGATGGCTGCAAGAACCATCTGCTTCTCTGACCATCCCCTCTGCCTGTCCCTTGTTCTCCTCACTGGAGAGCAGCTCTGGTGTGTTAGATAAGCAGGAAGGATAAGGCAGGATAGAGATGGAGTTGAGGCCCGGTGGAGCCAACAATGAGGAAAGGAGGCTGGCCTCTGAAAGTTTTGAACAATCCGTTGGCTCCTGCTGTGGAATGCAGCTTTACAAACGCAGGCAGACTTTATTTTACTTCCTGTTCTCTGACTTGCTCCCTGATTCTGTGTTTTGAAACGTGCATGTCTGATGTTCCCAGGCTGAGCTCGGCAGCCCCTCTCTGCACAGGAGTCTTTCTTCCCATTGAAAGAGAAAGTTTACTTAAGGCTCAGAGGAAGGCTTCAGAGGAGACATGGGGGCGGGTGGTTTGGCCTGTGGGTGGGCTGCCTTTCTCGTGCCTTTTTTTTCAGATTTCTTTTCTTTTCTATAATTTCTTCAGATTATAATTGTTCAATAACTTTATATCTCAGTCACTTGGATTCAGCACAAAGGAGGATTTACAACCTGGCTGGGCAGATGTCCCAGCCAAAGCCTCTCTTGCTGCCTCAGGTGCCATTCCACTTCGACTCTCTTGGAAGGATCTGTGGAGCTGATCCAGGGAGAAAGGGGAGGTTGCCCTGATTAACCTTGTTCAGAGACTTACCTGGTAACACTTGGACAGATGGCTCTGGAATCACCAGCTTCTTAGTCTGAGCAAAGATCACAGGAGATGAAGATCCAGCCTGCAAGGGCTGAGCTGATGTCTGAGTTGCCCTGTTCACAAAGCAGTGTCTGTCTGGCTGATGCCTTTAAATGTTCCTTGCCATGGAGATGCTAAGAGAATCTGTTCTCCATTTGACGTTTCAGATGTCCACCTACAAGCGGGCGACGCTGGATGAGGAAGATCTGATGGACTCAATCGGGGAAGGGGAAGTTTACCCTAATGGAATCCAGGTAGGCTATCCAGTCCGTGATACTCCACTTTGCAAGCAATGTGACTGTAAGGTCATTCCAAACACAGCCCTCTCTCTCCCCCAGTGATTGTCCTGCCACCATACCGTGAGCAAGGGGGATGTGTAGGGAACTTGTGCCTTGCTGATAGAAAGGAACTCTCTCCTCCAGTGATGTAGCAAGTCAGAATGGGCCCTCTGTTCCCCTCTGCCTTGTGACCATGGAAGCCCCATTCACCCCACACTCAGGAGTAGGTGCTTCTCTATCGAGGCTGCTTCCTGACTATGCATGCACCTGGCCTGCTCTCCCAGGGTTGCAGCACAGCTAGGGAAAGTGCCTGTCTGTTTAGACTTGGCTGCAGGCGGAGCCTGGTCTTCTGCTCCGCAGAGACCTGGTCAGGTGGGTTAGAGCTCTGTACCTGAGATAGCCCAGGCTAGAGACATGCGGGGACTCACTGAATCTGAGCCCAGGAAATGTCTGAACCAGTAACACTTTCAACAGGCAAAAAGAAAAGGAGTACTTGTGGCACCTTAGAGACTAACAAATTTATTGGAGCATAAGCTTTTGTGAGCTACAGCTCACTTCATCGGATGCATTCAGTGGAAAATACAGTGGGGAGATTTATATACATAGAGAACATGAAACAATGGGTGTTACCATACACACTGTAACCAGAGTGATCAGGAAAGGTGAGCTATTACCAGCAGGAGAGTGGGGCAGGGGAGCTTTTGTAGTGATAATCAAGGTGGGCCATTTCCAGCAGTTGACAAGAACGTCTGAGGAACGGGGGGGGGGAAACATGGGGAAATAGTTTTACTTTGTGTAATGACCCATCCACTCCCAGTCTCTATTCAAGCCTAAGCTAATTGTATCCAGTTTGCAAATTAATTCCAATTCAGCAGTCTCTCATTGGAGTCTGTTTTTTAAGTTTACGAATACAGACTAATACGGCTGCTACTCTGAAACCTTTCAACGGGCAGTTTTTGCTTTTGGGATTTGCCCTGACAGATATTCTCTTGAATTCTCCATCCTAAGCAATCACCTCCAGCACAGCCCCATTGTCCCAGGGCTGTGTCTGTCAGCAGTCGGGAGCCTTAGACACAGTGACTTCAACACAAACACTTGGGGGCTAACTCTAGCCTGGGTGTGACTCCACCAATGTCTGGTGTCACAAATAGGGCTGCCCTGCCAGGCCCCCTAGGGAGAGGCTGTGAGGCAGGCAAGCCAGAGGAGTGGTGATGTGAGAACTCCTAGAAACTCTTATCGGTCTGCCCTCTCTGTGCACAATACACACCCCCTAGGGCTGAAGCTTTGTCCTGACAGGTGCCTGGTGCAGCCCAGCTGATGTGCAGTGAGGGGCAGAGCAGAGCCTAGTCCATGGTGAGATGAGCAGCAGAGTGTGTGCTTCGTGCCTGCTCGCCCTCCTGAGCTGTCCCACCTACCCTCAGTTAACTCCACACCATCTGCTGGGTCCCTGGCTAATGGAAGGACGAGATTAGCCCCACAGTAAATATAGTTTCATCCTGCCTGATCACTGTCTACAGGCACCAAGGCAGGAAGGAGGTTTCTGATGCTGGAGGGCTCTCTAACCACACAGAGAAAGGCATACTAATATCCAGTGACTAAAAGTAGAAGCCAGCAAAGTTCACACTGAAATCAGATGTAAATTTTTAACAGTGAAGGTAATTAACCATCAGCAATAACTTGCCAAGGGATGCGGTAAATCCTCTGGCACTGGGAGACTTTGACTCATGGCTGGATGTTGTTACTATAGAGATACTCTAGCCCAACCACAGGTCACAGTACAACACAGAATCACTCGGTGACATTCTACAGCCTGGGCTCTGCAGGAGGTTAGACTAGACGATCATATCAGTCCCTTCTGGCCTGAAAAGTTGTGAAAACAAGGCATTAATGCTAATGACCTGTTACAGGTCTAAAGGAACTTTCCAAAGAAGGAAAAAGTCCTGTGTTTGCCTGAGTGAACCCAGTACAGTCTCCCTTTTAGCTTGCCCTGTGATGCTGTCCTCGCTGACCTTCCTGATCCCTTGAAATAAATGGAGTCAGCAACTGCATACCAAGGTCTGAAACTGTCAAACAAACCCCTCTTACATCTGCCCTGTTTCCCAGGCTGGGCCCGATGGGATTTTGCTGAACTCCACCACTCGATACACTACCCCTCTTCACTCCAAGCCCTGAATCTCCTTCAGCCAAAGGAGTAGTGAACAGACAATACAGGTCTGAGTTGAGCTGCAAGTGTGACACTTACAGAACCCTGGCTGATGCCAGGAGCTAGTGCAGCATTTCTGAGTCCAGCAGAGTCCGGGTGCTGCAGGAAGTGCTGTGGTGATTCAGTGTGCAGGGCTCTGCGTCAGTCCTGAACTGATGCTGTAGCCGGTACAAGGGTGCTGTGATGCTGGAGGACCAATTCTGACCATGGTCCTTCTTGCAGGTGTCAGCCCTGTCTATCAAAGGGATTTATGACTCCCTCCACTGTAGTATCAGAGCACCTCCCAGTCTTGAATATGTTTATCCTCTGTGAGAAACTCAGACCAGAAGGATAAGAGAGTAGTAGAAGGCAGCTATATCAGCCTCAGAATGAGCAGGTCCCTGTCCCCTGGATAGCTGAACAAAGGCTACTGCAGGCTAGTCAAGACACCTGATGCCAATTAACCAGTTAAGGTCGTTTGGCTAATGCCAGCACCTGACCCCAATTAATTGGCAAAGTGTCAGTTAAGGCTGTTAGGTAATGGAGACAGCTGGAACCAAGCAAGGTCTCACTCATATCGCTTAAAAGCTCTCCTTTCCAGCCCCTTTGGGGGAGTCTAGGTGAAAGGAGCTGGAGGTGAGGGTGAAGCTAGGAAAAGGGGACCACAGGGGAAGTGGCCCAGGAAATCAAAGCAGCTGCAGTGGTGAAGGGAAATCCACCAACAGCTGCTACTATTAGGGTCCCTGGGCTGGAACCCGGAATAGAGGGTGGACCCGGGTTCTTCCCCAGCCCCGCCCCATGCTCTGCAGAGATCCCCTGGAGAAGGGAAGCAGGACTCGGTCCAGTCAGGAGGTCCAAACTGTGCCTTCTGAGCTCTACGGAGCAACAAAGACTGTGGGGTATTTCCCCTTCCCAACTCCCATACTGGCCTGTGATGAAAGTAACTCAATTGGCTGTAAAAAGAAAAGGAGGATTTGAGGCACTTTAGAGACTAACAAATTTATTTGAGCATAAGCTTTCGTGAGCTACAGCTCACTTCATCGGATGCATTCAGTGGAAAGACGTTCTTGTCAACTGCTGGAAATGGCCCACCTTGATTATCACTACAAAATGCTTTTTCCCCCCCGCTCTCCTGCTGGTAATAGCTCACCTTACCTGATCGCTCTCGTTACAGTGTGTATGGTAAAACCCATTGTTTCATGTTCTTTGCGTATATAAATCTCCCCAGTGTATTTTCCACTGAATGCATCTGATGAAGTGAGCTGTAGCTCACGAAAGCTTATGCTCAAATAAATTTGTTAGTCTCTAAGGTGCCACAAGTCCTCCTTTTCTTTTTGCGGATACAGACTAACACAGCTGCTACTCTGAAACCTGTCAATAGGCTGTGACTCTTGCCATTACACTGTGAAAGAAAGGTCACATTGGAGCCTTAGTGAATTTCTGAGGTCACTGAATCCACCCGGAAGTACAGAACCCACCAATACAGGCTTGGAACTTTGTCACACCTCGCACACCCCTGTGAGGTAGGGCAATACAGAGAGCTAAGGTGTAACCATGCCTCAGGGGATCACAACTGAGGATGCCAAATTCAGGACAAACTACTGAGAAATAGGGCAGATAAACTCCAAGATTGGTGGTTATTTCTTCCATAAAATATACCAAGTCAGCAACAAAAGTAAACTTCTGTTTCACCACATGGGCTAACAAGAAATCACAAAAGCAGTTTCATTATTCCAGTTCTTATATCACCACCACTGGATTTAAAGGGAGTGGTTCTTTTCAACCTGTCTCATCAAATAAAAGGTTCTCCTGATCCCAAAGGGCCAGCCACACACACAGGTTAATATATAACTTAGATCTTACCCCAAAATCACGCTGATGCCAATCCTTTAGTAGCTAAAATCTAAAAGTTTATTCATAGAAAGAAAGAAAGGTGAGAGTTAAAACTGGTTAAAGGAATCAAATACATACAATAACTGCAAAGTTCTTGGTTCAGGCTTGTAGCAGTGATTGGATAAACTGCTGGCTTAAGTCAAGTCTCTGGCTGCTTCTAAATCATTGGAAGGTCCTCAGTCCAGTGGTTAGAATGCCCCCTTAGTATAAATTCATAGTCCAGAGGCTGGAGCAGAAAAGAGGCAAAATGGAGGGGTTTCCACGGACTTTTATATCTCCTGCCATGTGGAGGGAACCCATTGTTTCAAACAAAGCCCTCAGCACACTAGTGGAAAATTACAGGTGACAAGATAGTGTTTGGAGTCACATGGGCAAGTCACATATCCACGCATGAAGGTCTGGACACTGCAGAAGCCATTACCTATACCTCAAAAAGCATCTTTGCGGGACAGTCCATTCAGTGTAGATGGGCATCTCACATGGTCCGTTGTCCGTTAAGTGTTTCTTGATGAGCTACTTAATTTGAATAGTCCCTCAAAGATGTGCTGGCTAACTACCTTGTGGGCATTACCCCAGGAGCAAACATTTGAAATCCAGGTATAGAGCCAATATTCATAACCAATAGCGTAATCATAACCAGCCAATAACCTTTTCATAGACATTTTACATGCCACATTTTGTACAAGATTTGTTGCAAATATATAACAGTGGTTGCAACAATGATCTGTGTGGTCATATTTTAATCAGATAATGTCACAGAAGGTCACACAGAAAATCTAGGGCTGAGCAGGAACTAAACTAGCACCCAAATCATTGGGTCATCCTTCCTCTCAGTGCCCCAGCCCGTTCTAACTGCAGCCATTTCATACAGCCAGCCTCAGTTTTCCTCGGTAGGGTCAGC